AATTTGAAAAGTAAGTATTGCTTTGAATAGTTATAGTTAAATACAGTATTGTTCACAATAAACATCCCTCTTGATGTCGACAGAGGCGTGCAAATCATCGGCGCACATTTTACGGCTGTACTTCGTTTCTTTTGCCTACTAGTGTACAAACAAGCATGAAAATGGTCGCACTCGGTAAAGATACAGGTTACGTTTGTCTTGAACAGTTGGACCACAGTGGCCCTGTGTCGTTCAAGGCGCCGTCCCTTGGGCATGCCAAAATCCTATGATTGTGGGTCCGAATCCCGGTCACCCCGATTATGTTTCTAGGTTTGTCAGCACATACCCGTGCTTGTGGGTTTCACCGAAGTGGTAAACCTCTGAGACCTGCATCACTTCGGGCTTTCCTCCCACATTCAGCTGACACGCCGTGATCTAACTGGAATATTTTTATTAACGGCGATAAACCCAATTAACTCCCTCACTCACTGGAACAGTAATGCAGCCTTACGCTTGTACATGTACTAAATCAATGTATAAATGCCTGTTCGTGTTCCATGCATTCAATATCATTAACAATTCCAATTGTGCACGCAAAGAGGATACCGCTGAAGAAATAACAAAAACTAGGATGTTGGCTATCGAAGCAGAAATAACGCAAACTCTGCTGAACCCCTTTTCACATTTCCTATGCCGTTATAAGTAAAACAATCCCCCCGTGAAGCAATCAATACGTAATCCTCCTTGATATCGTATTTTACGAGACGCTTAGAGACCTTAACGAAATTCTGTTTACCCACCAGAAAATGAAACATACATCATTTACCTGTCAATCATAAATCTACATAACGAGGCAAAGGGGGGTAACTGCTGTTGCGCTGCAATGGTGTGTATCAGCGAGGATTTGACCGCAATCAAGTCTAGCACCTCGGGTTATCTGTCATGGCTATTGAAGAAAATTGGTTTATTACAATACTTGCTGGTCTTGCTTCTGTCTGCACCTCAACTTGATTGACCGTGAAGGTTTTGTAATGATTTCAAACAATCACTGTCAGGCAATTTGGCAATAATCGAAGGATTTGTTTCACACATTGCGCGCGTTTATGTTGGCTGTTGATCTTCGCTTGTCTGCTGTGAAACATTTATTACGGTTCCCTGAGTGATTTAGTGGGGCCGGCAATCAGCGCTATTCAATTCCTCCGTTTGATGGCTGCTCATTCTTCTGTACAAGAACAAATGGGGTAAATTTCAAAAGAACACCAAGAAAGCGGTTGTATACAGTGTACCTTAATAAGAAAACGTTTTAAATCACATACGTGTAATGATTTTAGCTATCAGTTTGTTGATGCAAGACTAATGACGGTGGCAATTGCAACATCAATACTGAAACATCTCCATGTGGTTCTAGAACATCTAGTCCTTGGATACATTCATGTTCCTCCGTAATGGTCTTCGATTTTGATGTTTTGTAGACATCATGAACAGTATTGGCCCATTATATTCTTTTCCATCGTAATCAAACATATTTTAAACACAAGTTTCAAATTGATGTTAGTAGACTTCAACAAATATAGTTCAGTGATGCCCGTAGTGTTGGGTGTTGTAATATGTCTTGGTATTATAAACGCAGTTTTTTATTTAACAATGTCTACTTGTTGGTTTGACCCTTCTGAACCCAACTACTTGAAACAACAACAGACATGTATTTCTTGTGGAAATGAGGAGTTGTAACACACGGTCTACTTGTGGATACAACCTAAATATGTTTTCATGTTTTTATCCCTTGCCGATAAACAACACTTTAGTTTTGATATGAACCAAAATGAGCTGTTTTAAACACAGCTAGAAGAAGGCTATACTCACTCACTCAATCAGTGTTGAGATATTTTTTGTCGCCGTACTGTAACGTGTAGTTAATCCAAAGGATTGGAACAGTTTTGTGGATATGACAAAAAAAACGTTTTGGTTGTAATAAATAACTATAAAAACATGTATCGGGAACCGTATAGTTTGATATGGTATCCTATACAATATACAGAGACGAAAGATTTAGTTTAATAAATCAATGTATTGTCTGTTAAAAGCAGCCATAATTATGTGTAACATTTAACTTTTTCTTGCTAATATTTGACACAATGTTGGTATCAATTCTACTGTGTAGATCCTAAATATGTAACCCGATTGAAAGATTTCCCAAATTATCAATCCGTGAAGTTCTATAGCAAGATTTTATACTGGACCCTGAAGCCAAGTAAAAACAAATACCAAAGGTAGAATGTGTTAAATTAGTTTGACAATCGTTCGACTCACGCAGACGTTACAGATTCATCTGTTTGACGCACCGCCAAGACGTGCGCCAAGGTGGAACAGATACCTATAGACTAATCCATGCAGAAGACCTGACAAGCTAAGGACTAGATTTCCAATGTAGTATTTTACTTTTGAATTCTGGAAGATTCTGTTGATTTTATGTTTTATATCCAACCGTACAGCAAACTTTATCTACCTACTGAAACCAGTCGGAGACAAACATACTATGAAACATATTGCGAAAATTGGGGCCCCTCTTGGTTATGTTAGCGACGAGTTTCATTTTATTAATGTTTTGAGGTTTTCTCAAAACGGAAATAATGACTATACTGAAAAAATATTAAATCCTGTAAAATCTGTCAAAGTAAGAAAAATATAATATTTTAAAACAATCTTAGACTTCAACAAATCGTGCACGCTTCCTTGTTTTAGAAACGCGTGAACAACATTCTTATCTTTTATTAACTTATTCATTGCGTTTGATTTCCTAACGTACAACCGTTAGTTGGTTTACGACAACTATTTTCATTCTGACATGTGCATGAAGTCAAAGTAGGGTTTGAATTTAGCGAAGTAGCCCAGAATGGAAGATTAATCGTCAACACTACAGGGACGCGATGTATGTTTAATCCATAAAAACGTTAATGAATTACGATTTTACGACAAGTCACGTACGTTTAGCAAAATGGATCGCTAGATGCGCCACAAGGCTCTTTAGTTTCCACGTCAATCACGTTGTATGACGTCGTGGCTCTATAATTTCCATGCACATTGAAAGTTCAGAGAAATTACGTAAAATTAGCACACTGAAGGTTTTATCTCATTGATTAAAAATTCCCAATATGGAGATTGGGGTGTTTTCTTGAAGATAAATGCTCTTACGTTGAATTTCCGTTGATGAGAATTATTTTTTCGTCACGGATTAAATGTATAAGTGTCACTGCCAGAAGGAACAGAATCTGTAGCTCACTTGAACCGGGGGTTGATCATCATCGACATTTTTCAAAGTCTTTCTGACTATCCTTAGAGTAAAACTAAGCTAAAAAAAACTTTCAATATTCACAAGGAGTCTCTGCCAAAAGCAGAGTCGATTGTATCATTCCGACTATATCATGAGCCTATGGTTATTTATCACTATGAAATAGTGATGATACAAGTGTTCGTGAAAAGGTGAGCGTATCCTTCCCCACTGGTAGCACAGTCACAAACACATGCAAAAGCAAGTCAATTGTTCACCTGAATACAGCAAGGATGACTTATATTGTGTTGTGTTAAATATGGATTCATTTTCATCTGCGTTGATTTATAACAGGTTTATAACCTTTGGCCATCACGTAGTCACTGCATCATCCAGTAAAGCCTCAGACATCAGACCCGTGGGGTTCTGGGTTAAAGTGTCTCCCCAGCAACCTGGGCTGGATGTCAGAGGCGACTTAGTGGATCGAGTGGTCACGCTCGGTGACTTAGTTGATTCCGTTGACCGTTGCTTATGATGTCAATCATTGGACTGTCTGGTTCAGAATCGATTATTTACAGGTCGTCGTCATATAGCTGGAACAGTGCTGAGTATGAAATTAGCCCCCTGGCGTACAACTACAAAAGAAATGTTTGGTCCGAGACTTGAAAACTGCTTCCCACTGTTTTGCAAAATGAACATATTTTTAAACGTTTTTCTTTACTTAAAAGCAGCAAAATCTCTGCTCTTGTAAACAGCAGACGTGGTTCAAAATTAACACCGTATTTATTAGTTTCAACAAAATCAGTAATAGTACTCTCGTGTCACTGGAGTTTCTGGTTCATCGATCACTTGATTGTCTGGTTTGTTGACAGACTGACGTGGCATGTCAGAAGTACTGATGTGTTGCGTCAGGCAATAAATACTTACTATTTTTGCAAATAGTATGAATGGCGGGTACTACTGGTGGGGAAGGACTAACTTACCCTTATCGCAAACACCTGGTATCATCACTGATTTTCAATGATCCATTCATACAATTTTCACAGCTATCTGCCGTTTACGCCAAGTGGAATTCGTTTCGGCAGAAAATCTAGGCTGGTTATTCTCTTTCACTGACAATATATACTGTACAACACGTACACAAATACAGTTTTGAATTCTGAAAATTAAGTACATCGTAATTATCGCTATGTTTCACCGTTCACAGCGATATTTCGTGGATGTTTTGAAATCTAGATACAGGGTATTTATATATAAAATGTGGCGACTATGCGACTATGCTTGTGGTAAGAGGCGACTAACGGTATGGATGGTCAGGCTTGCTGGCTTGGTTGATGTATGTCATCGCATCCCAATAGCGTGGATCGATGCTTATGATGTCAGTCACTGGATTGTCTGGTCCAGACTCGATTATGTACAGACCGCCGTCACATTGCTGAGTGCGCCGTTAAACAAACAAATAAACAAACAAACAAACAAACTGATGGCCAACATTGTGTTCGTCACTAATGCAAATTCTCCATTTGAAATCATGTAAAAAAAGCAAGGTGAAAACTCTTTTTAGACACCTATTCGTGTACAAGTCTTGTATACAACATTGGAGCGTTGGGACAGATAGGTATGACAGGTTGGGTCGATGATTTTAGATAATTTGGTCAATGAATATTCCAGATTATTTAGGTGAGCTACAGAACTTAAGTCTTCAGAGTATTTTTTGTAAACTTTCTCACAGCATCGTTTGTTTGCATTTCAGTATCCCGGATTCATCTGCAGTGAGCATGTTGCTAGGGAAACTTACCAAGATGATCACGAATGGCTTCATCCCGACATGCGTTATTATCGGAGGGTTGTTAGGTGAGTAAAATTTCGTTTTACCCTAAGGGTAGAAAGCTGGTGTGGAATAACTTTTCGACATTTTCACATGTGCATTATTAGTGATTTTCAGTGGTGATTTCTCAGTGGAATCCATGTGACGTCACGGTGCTTCATTTTTAGAAAATACAATACGTCATTCATTGTTCATGACGTCACCCTTTGATTAAATTGCGGATTAATTGCATCGTGGTAATTTATTTTTGCGTATTTAAGCAGATACGCAGCTTATGATTATTGAAGCTTGGCATAAATATATCTTTCATGGCGGCGCCGCCTATGAAAATATCAACATTGTCAGGTCACACGAAAATAAAACACCTCTATGTAGGCAAGGTGTACCAGCCATATTAACATTAATTTACTTTATCAAATGTTGTTGTAGCATATATCATTATAATCAGATCTGGATGCTCGCTGCATCTACACAAAGATCTGAGGACATCCTATTACTGATCACGTCAGAACGACCTTTCGCGACCTTTGACAGATCAATGACATGTGATCGGCGGATCTATGCGTAGCGGTAGCTGGCACTAAGGTCTGATTTTAATGACTTTGCAAACGGTATCATGGGTATGGCAAACGTTCAAGTGACAATTTCTTCCTAACGTCCTTATTGTTGCTATAAAGAATGCTATTGTTTCACTTGTTTCATATTTTGGACATTCTAGCAGAGTGAGTGAGTTGGGTTTAACACCGCTCTGAACATTATTCTTGCTATTTTACGGCGTGTCACCCTGATGTTGTGGGAAAACCCGAAGTGATGCAAGCCTCAGACGTTTACCACTTTGGTTAAATCGACAAGCACGGATATGGTGGTGACAAACCTAGAAACATAATCAGGGCAAACCGGGATTCGAACACGCGATCATAGGTTTGGCGTACACAAGGGACACGACTCTGCACAGCGAATTGCGGCGCTTTAGCCAACATACTGGTGGAGCCATAAGTCGGATGTACATGTAAATAATAATCCTAAGAACTGATTCCTGGTATCCAACCACTGGCCCACATATGCCCTGTTCCAGCAGAGACCAGCAGTTATCATATAATGGGCAGGTTTCTCGGCAGGATAAAGTCAACAGATAGAAACGATATATGTTGGGGTCATATGCGGATAGAGATGCAAATATCAAAGGTCAAGTATGGACTATTTTCAGTGTTTACAAACAAACATGGCGTCGCTCTTGTCATTCGGCGATCTAGTCAGAATTAACAATCTGGAGAAAGTACTGTGATAATTGCTATTATTAGCAAAATAATAGTATAATACGCTGAAAATCAGTGTTTAGAAGAGACGTAGCTAGGTCATTTTACGAGTTTTGGCATCTTTGGAGAGATACATTTTAAAACGATTTAGCAAGGACACTAGCCTAGCGGGATCCATATCTGTGCTTCTATATCTTTGGGGCTTGGAAGCTTTCCCCCAAATTAAAACAGATTAATGTGGCCGAAATTTGTCCGAATTGTTACCTTGTGTCGTTTTGTCGCTGTGTGTACATCTGACTGCACTTAAACGAAACGTTATGACAGGACAGTCACTTAGCCAGACTTTACAAACATGACGTCTCACAGACTAGGACTAGAGTAGCTTCCCTTTGATAAAGGGCAGATAATCTAGCGGACAGACCGATGCATTGCCGCGAAAGGCAAGTAAAGGCAATTTGTGTGGGTAATTGTTTTTTGCATATATGTAGTTACGCCTCTTTTTCAGAAACAAGTTTCAGTTTGAACTATATTGGCTACTGTCACTGACCGACTGACACATCACTTACCTTCTGACGTAATATATATTACTGCGCACATTCAAGAAAAAAAAGATGCAATGTTTAGGTAATGTTTGTGACAAATGGGAAGAGACTTTCAAGCACAGAATTGAAGAAAACAATATATGATAAAGATGTTATCACGCTTGTGTGTTTTTGGTATGGTAAATATCCGGTAGTAGAAATAAACACTCTGTATTTAGCTCGCCAATCTCGCTAAATACAATGTCTTGCTGAAGGGAGTTTGACTAATACAAAACGCAAACGTGCCAACTCTGTGACTTTATAACGTAATAGGCTGGAGTTTTTATTATTATTTTTTCTTTTTATTATTAACCGCTCGATGTCAACCACAAGAGCAGCGGCCTGATATCGGTTCTTAAACAAACAAGAACACGAATATGACTAACTTATGTCAATGTTCACGTGGAATTCGTGATTTCCGAAATTAACTCTTTTTCAACCTGTTAATTTAATTTGTTTTCTTTCAGCCCTGGTTGCATGCAGTGAACAGGAATACCGTCTTGTGCGGGACATTCTGAAAACTTACGACAAGCGGATCAAACCCTTCGTCAACGGGTCGGGCGCTCTGAACGTCACCATGGGCGTGGCTCTGGCCCAGATAATTGACATAGTAAGTTTCTAAACGTATTGGGCAAATCTGAGTGATTGATTTGCAAAAATGTGTTAATGAGACCGAATGATATAATCATTAAGTGACAGCAAATTCACTCTGGAAGGTTCTTCAAGTCACAGTTATATATATTCCATAATATTTTAATAGGGTTTTTACATGCATCAGAATCATATGCACTTGGTCTTCTCTTGTCCTGACCGCCTCCGTGGTCTTGTGGTAGAGCGTCCGCCCGGAGAGCGGAAGGTCCAGGGTTCGATCCCGGGCCGCGTCATACAAAAAGACGTTAAAAGATTGTACTTGTTGTTACCCTGTCTGGCGCTCGGCATTAAGGGGCTAAAACAAGGACTGGTCGGCTCGGAGTCAGTATACTGTGTCTGAGTGGGGTATTCATGTTAACCTGCGGCATGGTATCTCAGTGAGCTAGCACTATAAATCGGCATCAGTCCGGACTAGTACAAGCAGCCACACACACACATACACGTGCATGCACGTCGCTATATAAGTGCAATAATCTTGGACGCGACGTTAAACCCCATTTCACCTCACCTCACCTTCTCTTGTCCTTGTTCGAATCAACAACAGAACAAGCGGTGCTAATTTTCCTATGCTTGTCATACAGTAGTTTGTTATAATAAACTACAGCGCCGGGCAAAGGAGAGTATACACTTGAAATTTGGATTTGATCAAACAATTACAAACGTTATTAAAACATTACAGGGATGAACAAAGTCGCCGAAACACTGCAAACTTAAGGTCCAGATCACACCTATGATATCAGTATCAAATACATCACCTTTAAAAAAACAATTTCTTGTTTGTTTCATTTGTAGCCATTATCATATATGGATGTTTTCGTTCTCTTGCCCTGCAGTTTATTTCTGAAGCCGATGAATCTGTGTAAACAATGCAAAAAGCCGTGTTTAAGATATATTCATGGTTAAATAGTTTAATCTGGTCATTCAACAATCACAGAACTGTATGTTGATACGGGCCGTTCCTCTGTCCCTTGATAAGATGTGCCATTTGCAAGGACACGACCTGTCAGTCTCTTGAGGACAACCAACCATCCGTCCACTGTAAATAAGAGAGCAATTATAACGGCAAGGTCAAGGCCTTGCCGTGATTGCTTCATCACGTTTGCAAGGTCCTTTCTGACTAGACGGGATCTGTAGACGAATACTTATAGCGTTAAAACGTTCTTACTCTCATCATGAGTTCTAAATGTAGCGCTTATTCGGCCGTGGTATTGATGAAAGTAGCAAAACTTGTGATGTATTCTTGACAATGCTTGTGTTTGTGATTATTGCCCGTGTTATCACGGCGGTCTTTTACAAACCGGGGGTTGAAAGAAGATCTCTGCCCTGTCCGACTCTGTGTAAGAAAAGAATAATTAGCGATATTGTTGAATGTGCACTGTTTACCGAGTAAATAATGATGATGATGATAATGAAAAAAAATAATAATGAAGATTGTAATATAACAGGTCCATTGTCCTGCGAACACCTGGTATCGTCATGGTAACGTTACAGCGTTTAATGTAGTCGATGTGTTCAGTGACGGACTGTTTACTGCATGAAGGGGCCTTGTATTTCCGTATTGTTGTATCACATACATTGCCATATATATATACGGCAGTTTGGTGATCTGTCATATGTCTTCATGTCAGGAGAGGAGATATAGTCCTACTTTGTCTTCATCCCAAATTCTTTATTCATCCGGGTTCGATTCCCGACATGGGTACAATGTCTGAAGCCCATTTCTTGTGTCCCCCGCCATGATACTGCTGGAATATTGCTAAAAGCGGCGTAAAACAATACTCAGTCACATCTCGAACCATGTGATCTGACATACGTTCATTTAGCAAATAGATAATCAGCTGCAGAGTGAGTGAGTAAGTTTTGATTTACGCCACTTTTAGCAATATTCCCGCAATATCACGGCGGGGGTCACCAGATATGGGCTTCACATGTACAGAAGTCGGGACGAGCGCACGCTTTAACCACTTGGCTACCCGACGGCCCCAGTCAGCTGCAGATACATATTAAGAATAAGATAGTGTTTTTCCGCTATAGTACTGCAGCTTGTGATAATAAAATTACAAATAAAAATACTATAGTTTGTTATCCGTTGTTTGGTTGTATTGCCAGCGTATTCAGAAACGGTGTTCTTGTGATCGAAATATGAACGATGCAGAGGAAGTAGTCACGTGAAGGCATAGAATACATGAAGCGACATGTGCAACTATCGGAAATATGTGCAATGATATGTTTTACCACTGGGGTAATAGTCATTAATGAACAAGCATTATACCCCGAAACGTCGTTACTAATGAAAAGAGTATCACGTATTCATGTTCGTCCAGGGGCGGTCGGGTAGCCTAGTGGTTAAAGCGTTCGCTCGTCACGCCGAAGACCCGGGTTCGATTCCCGACATGGGTACAATGTGTGAAGCCCATTTCTGGTGTCCCCCGCCGTGATATTGCTGGAATATTGCTAAAAGCGGCGTAAAACCATACTCACTCACTCATGTTCGTCCAACTTTTAAAATCGCATCAAAGACCTGAATAGAGATTAATGAAAAAACATTATGAATCTTTCTATTTCTATCACTGTTTGATTGGGATTCATAAACACATGTTCATCATATTGTCGGAATCGTACAGTCGACTCCGATTTTGGCAGATATTTGTTATGAATATGGAAAAGGTATTGTCGCTTTTATTTATTATCAACGTTTACATTGTACACCCATGGTCGTGCATATAGCATAAGATCAAGGCTCCGAATCACCCATTAGAGCCTTAGTCTTGTAGCAATCTGTAATGGGATCCCTTTCGCGGCGCCCCAGTTTAATCCGAACTGATATTAAAAGACCAAAAGCCCTGTAAATGAATCTCACAATCAAATGTGATCATTCTACTGCGATCACCATGGTACATTTGGCCGATGTGGTGTTGATTAAAACAGACGGTTGCCTATTCTGCCTGTTTAGCTTGGAGACACGGGTGTTCTCGGGAACCGTCATTTCAATCCTGAAATAATCCGAGTAAATCTCCAAAGTCACGCCGAATGGAAATGAATGTTCCGATTGACTCATACCCAAGTCATCGTAGACGAAGTCGCGTGTAGGGCGATGTCGTTCCTGGTTTTAATGAAGGAAGATACATTTACGACGAATCTATTTATATCACGTTACCACCAGTCATTGTGTAGCACTGAACTTGGCTTGACCTCATGGATCTGGGATCATTAAATGAATTGTGCGTTGATGTGGAGCGAGTGTGGGATAATGACGTTCGTAATGCTATCAAGCAAAGAATAAAAGAACATTACTTTGTCATTCATTTAACCGATTTGAGACCTTTCATCTTTCGGTCTTTCGATGATTTTGATTAATCAAGTTTACAAATCTAAATGTAATGCCCGGCTTGGTGACCAGTGACGCCGTCACGTGCACTGCGAAGACGTCGGGCAGAACGACATCGGCAACATATTCAGAATCGTTGCCTTTTAGCTGATGATGTGAAAATAAAAGAGACAGAGCCTATTTCCATAATCACAATAAATCCCTTCTCAATGCAAAGTCCATTATACGGTTCCGACTATATCATGGGCATGTGTATGAACATTATCAAATAGTAATGATACCAGATGTTCGCGAAAAGCTGACCGTATCGTGTCCAACTGGTAACACCCGTCACAAACACATGCAAAGGCATGTCAATTGTTCATTTGATAAAGAACACGGAACATATGATACATATGGAATATATGGTATATATTTTTGTATATTTTTCAGGACGAAAAGAATCAAATTATGACAACAAATTGCTGGATAAATCAGGTGAGTAGGGAATCGAACTCCGTAGAGAGACATTAGATACCAGTATTCAGTTCATATAATCATCACGTACATGTACACACGTCTCATTGCTCCAGTCGCCCTTGGCGTTGCAATTCGCGATTCTGGGTTTATAGGCACCATACCCAGGGTCGTGGGTTTCAGCAAAGAGGTGAACGTAAACGTCTGACAACTGAACCTATTCGGAAATTTCTTCCCACATTCAGCTGTCAGTGATGTAACTGGAATACTGTTCAAAGCCGCGGTAAACCCACCTCACTCAATGTGGACCTAATGACATACACGTTCTCACTTGTTCCAGCATTACAGTGAAAACTACAGTTATATAATATTCTTTACATATCAGAAACTCTTCTTTCCAAAATAGTAGAAATGTAGAGTGGAGTAGAAATAGTTCTACGAAGGTGTAATCACGGACCGTCAAAGGGCCTTACACTGTAATTGAAAGTAACATTCGTGAACAATATGTCCTAACCATCCATGTTTTTCTTATCACAGGGTTGGATTGACAAAAAGTTGGCCTGGGTACCAGAGAAATATGGAAACATATCCGTAATAAGAATTCCATATGATTCAGTATGGCTGCCAGACATAGTGCTGTACAATACGTAAGTATGTCAGATCTTTCAGAGACACAGGTATTGAAGCTCGTTCAACGTTGTTGGGAGTTTTTATAATTTAGTTATATCCGTCATATGTTATATTAGCAAAACCTACAAGCATGGGTTTGGTGACAAACCAAGACGAATATAAGATTTGAACCTTGACAGCGGATCCTGGTTAAGGTGTACCAGGATCCGCTTGTGGTAGGACTGTAGATTCGTCTGTCAGGACGGTATATAACGTACTTGTGCTCTTATGTTTGCGGTTCAAACTATTTAACTAACTTCTCACACTAAGAAACCAACCATGTGATAGTGAAGGGGGCTTGGATTGTTTTGAAAGCAAAGTATTGGTTTAAGAAAATGCTGGAAATATATTTTACTATATTTTTCACCAAATATGTTCTGCCCCGGACATGATGGACGTCCTTACACACAGTAAGATACAATCTCCGCCTCATCATGTCATAGAGAGTGAGTGAGTGAGTTCATGCTTTACGTCACATCGGCAATATTTCAGCCATATCGTGACGAGAAATTATGCATTTTTAATGCATATATTTTAACTTAATAAAAACCTGTCATCGATGGACAGTAAAATTACTAGAATATCACCGATTAATCTTTACATAGAAAAGAAAGAAAGGGGTTTAGCATTAAGTGGTTGTAGCATTATGAACCTATAATTTAGACGAATGCTCACAATAGTGGAAGATAATTTATGGATGTTAACTTATTTATTATGAGGAACACAACGTTTCGGAGTATATACTTACTCCATCGCTTGAATGAGGAAGGAGTAAGCACATACTCCGAAACGTTGTGTTCCTCATAATAAAGAAGTTAACGTCGATAGATTTTCTTCCTTATGTGTATCATTTCTAAATAGCTTTCGAAGACTCACAATAGTGTTTCTAGACTCTGTACATGGAACGAGTTATATATTTTGTATTATTTCTATTTGCGAAACGTTGTAAGAAAATGTCTGACATAAACGTGAATAGATGACTTGTGCTTCCTCTGTTGTTCGGTATTGAATGAACATAAATGTATTATTTAACTATTGAACCGTCTCCGTGTGTAGTGAATAGAAAATAGATCGTCTGCCCGGAGAGCGGAAGGTTGGTAGTTATATCCCCTGGCCGCATCATACAACAATACGGTACTTGTTGTTACCCTACCCTAGAACATGGTCGGCTCGGTGTTAGTTAAACTGCGGCATGGTATCTCAGTGGGCTAACACTATAAAATCAAGGTAAGTGCGGATTAAGACAAGCAGCCACTCACACACGTGCATGTAGGTCGCTATATAAGTGAAATAATCTTGAAAGCAATGTTAAGCCCCATGTTAAGAGAGAGGCTCAGCTTGGAGCCACTCATGACGACTTTGCAAGGGTCCAACGTGTAAGAGAATAATGCATGTCATATATATTTATGCCCAAGTCTTTGTCCCAGATTATAAATCAATGTGTTTTCTATTTCCTGTCCAGAGCGGAAGTGACAAGTAAGGAAATGTCAAGCGTGAGTACCAACGTCATCGTTACGTCAGACGGCAACGTGACGTATCTCTCAATGGTCATCTATAAAAGCTCCTGCTCAATCGACGTCAAACACTTCCCCTTCGACGAACAAAACTGTAGTATGGAGTTCTCGTCGTGGACGTACGATGCCACGTCTCTCAACATTATGAACGTCGGGGAGGAGGGAGACACATCCAACTACATCCCAAGCACCGAGTGGAATCTTGTCCAATATGTCCAAAAGCGTGATCCCGTATTGTTTTCTTGTTGTCCGGAGCCGTATATTTTCATGAAATATTTTGTCCTTATCAAACGGAGGCCGCTGTTTTATTTGTTCAATATGGTGATGCCGTGCGTGCTCATCACCATGGTTGCTCTGCTGGGATTCTATATGCCGAATGACTCAGGGGAGAAGATTTCAATGGGAATAACCACGCTGCTGTCAATGACAGTCTTTTTGATGATTGTGGCCGAACAAATGCCCCCGACATCGGATTTATTACCTTTAATTGGTATGTGTAACTAATTTTCTATATTGTTTGCTATATATACAGTTTTATGTGTTTAATATGAAGCAATATGCTAAAAGCATTTTTATATTGTATATGAACAATTCCCGCAAGGTAAGTAACGATTTCCCTAGGGGACATAGGATCATGAAAATTGTGTGCTTATTTGATTCTATATCCGATTTGTTTTGGGTGTTTTTTCTAAGTAACCATCAATAGTAGGCACAGAGGGGTCAGGAAATAGTACGCAGCCATCAAAAGCAGGTACAAAAGAGTCAGGAAAGAAATAGGACGTACCCATCAATAGCAGGTACAGAAGGGTCAGGAAAGAAATAGGACGTAACCATCAATAGTAGGTACAGAAGGGTCAGGAAAGAAATAGGACGTAACTATCAATAGCAGGTACAGAAGGGTCAGGAAAGAAATAGGACGTAACCATCAATAGCAGGTACAGAAGGGTCAGGAAAGAAATAGGACGTAACCATCAATAGTAGGTACAGAAGGGTCAGGAAAGAAATAGGACGTAACCATCAATAGTAGGTACAGAAGGGTCAGGAAAGAAATAGAACGTAACCACAAATAGCAGGTACAGAAGGGTCAGGAAGGAAATAGTACACAGCCATCAATAGCAGGTACATAAGAGTCAGGAAATAAATAGGACGTTACCACAAATAGTAGGTACAGAAGTGTCTGGAAAGAAATAGGACGTAACCATCAATAGCAGGTACAGAAGGGTCAGGAAAGAAATAGTACACAGCCATCAATAGCAGGTACAGAAGGGTCAGGAAAGAAATAGGACGTAACCATCAATAGTAGGTACAGAAGGGTCAGGAAAGAAATAGAACGTAACCACAAATAGCAGGTACAGAACGGTCAGGAAAGAAATAGGACGTTACCATCAATAGTAGGTACAGAAGTGTCAGGAAAGAAATAGAACGTAACCACAAATAACAGGTACAGAAGGGTCAGGAAGGAAATAGTACACAGCCATCAATAGCAGGTACATAAGAGTCAGGAAATAAATAGAACGTTACCACAAATAGTAGGTACAGAAGTGTCAGGAAAGAAATAGGACGTAACCATCAATAGCAGGTACAGAAGGGTCAGGAAAGAAATAGAACGTAACCATCAATAGTAGGTACAGAAGGGTCAGGAAAGAAATAGTACACAGCCATCAATAGCAGGTACATAAGAGTCAGAAAATAAATAGAACGTTACCACAAATAGTAGGTACAGAAGTGTCAGGAAAGAAATAGGACGTAACCATCAATAGCAGGTACAGAGGGTCAGGAAAGAAATAGGACGTAACCATCAATAGTAGGTACAGAAGGGTCAGGAAAGAAATAGAACGTAACCATCAATAGTAGGTACAGAAGGGTCAGGAAAGAAATAGAACGTAACCACAAATAGCAGGTACAGAAGGGTCAGGAAGGAAATAGTACACAGCCATCAATAGCAGGTACATAAGAGTCAGGCAATAAATAGAACGTTACCACAAATAGTAGGTACAGAAGTGTCAGGAAAGAAATAGGACGTAACCATCAATAGCAGGTACAGAAGGGTCAGGAAAGAAATAGTACACAGCCATCAATAGCAGGTACAGAAGGGTCAGGAAAGAAATAGGACGTAACCATCAATAGTAGGTACAGAAGGGTCAGGAAAGAAATAGAACGTAACCACAAATAGCAGGTACAGAACGGTCAGGAAAGAAATAGGACGTTACCATCAATAGTAGGTACAGAAGGGTCAGGAAAGAAATAGAACGTAACCACAAATAGCAGGTACAGAAGGGTCAGGAAGGAAATAGTACACAGCCATCAATAGCAGGTACATAAGAGTCAGGAAATAAATAGAACGTTACCACAAATAGTAGGTACAGAAGTGTCAGGAAAGAAATAGGACGTAACCATCAATAGCAGGTACAGAGGGTCAGGAAAGAAATAGGACGTAACCATCAAAGTAGGTACAGAAGTGTCAGGAAAGAAATAGGACGTAACCATCAATAGTAGGTACAGAAGGGTCAGGAAAGAAATAGTACACAGCCATCAATAGCAGGTACAGAAGGGTCAGGAAAGAAATAGGACGTAACCATCAATAGTAGGTACAGAAGGGTCAGGAAAGAAATAGAACGTAACCACAAATAGCAGGTACAGAACGGTCAGGAAAGAAATAGGACGTTACCATCAATAGTAGGTACAGAAGGGTCAGGAAAGAAATAGAACGTAACCACAAATAGCAGGTACAGAAGGGTCAGGAAGGAAATAGTACACAGCCATCAATAGCAGGTACATAAGAGTCAGAAAATAAATAGAACGTTACCACAAATAGTAGGTACAGAAGTGTCAGGAAAGAAATAGGACGTAACCATCAATAGCAGGTACAGAAGGGTCAGGAAAGAAATAGTACACAGCCATCAATAGCAGGTACAGAAGGGTCAGGAAAGAAATAGAACGTAACCACAAATAGCAGGTACAGAAGGGTCAGGAAAGAAATAGTACACAGCCATCAATAGCAGGTACAGAAGGGTCAGGAAATAAATAGAACGTAACCACAAATAGTAGGTACAGAACGGTCGGGAAAGAAATAGGACGTTACCATCAATAGTAGGTACAGAAGGGTCAGGAAAGATATAGGACGTACCCACCAATAGTAGGTACAGAAGTGTCAGGAAAGAAATAGGACGTAACCATCAATAGCAGGTACAGAAGGGTCAGGAAAGAAGAGCATAAGAGATCCGCACAAGGAGGCAATGTGAAAATAATTTCTTGTGTACCTCGCCATGATGTTGTTGGAATATTCTGAGAGCGGAATAAAATTATGCTCACTCTTAAGGCCAAGGACAGGTTTACCACGTGTATCTGTATAAACGTATGGCGGTTTTGTCGTGTCATTGTTATCAACTTCACGTCCTGAGTTAGGTTTTATACATTATATATGTTCCTTCTGTAATGGGTATCCCCTGTTCAGACTGACATAACTTATCAACAACAACGTTTGTGAATTTATGTGTAAAACCCTCTCTTTAGAGATGTTGCGAAATCTAAATCTATTTGATATACTTCCAGCTAAAATTCTCTCCTTCATATGAACACGTCAGATTCCAATATGGGGGGATTGGGTAGGATTGTGGCTAAAGTGTTTGCTCGTCGTGCTGAATGGCCTGGTTCGATTCTCCATATGGATACTAGGTGTAATGCCCAATTCTTGTGTCGACCGTCGTGATTGTACTACAAACGGTGTAAAACCATACTTTGAAAACTATATTCTGGAATAACCTTGTCGTATTGGTTCAATGAATTATTTTTTCTCTTTCAGGTCTGTATTATGGAATAACTATAGCGATAGTGTCATTCGCTACTGGGATGACTGTGCTAACACTCAACATTCACCATAAAGGAGCGAGGGGACAGGAGATTCCACGGGTTGTCAAGATAATATTTTTTAATTATCTCGCCAAAATTATGTTCATTAAGATAGACCTCGCGGAGCCTCACAGTGCCCCTGTTGGGATGGTAAGTTGGTTTCTCGCCGACTCTCTAAAGACCTGTCCACCGTTGCTTGCTCGGGGAACTTCCGGTTGTAGCCCGCTGTACAAGTATCTGATTCGTTCGCGTAATTGCAGCTATATTGCCGCATGGCTTGCGTGTTTCTAATCCTAGAGTATCACTTGTGCCGTAGTTGTATCGGGTTAGTGCTTGATTCTGAGCACGAAAGGTGATCATTTTTTAGCAGTACTGTATACTGGACCATCAGCCAATTCCGGTGTAAGGGACATAACTCAATATATTCCCACACAGGAGTGCGGCATGAATATCTGGCATCGTTACTATGGTGATAATGCAACCAGGTATCGATGTTACTATGGTTACGATGGTACGGTGTATCCATGTTACTAGGGAGGCACCAGTACAACCTATGGTACTAGCGGGAGACAGGGAATCATGCTACTGTATCATATAGCACACACATAACTGGGATGACAATGATATCACTAGGTGAGTCAGTGAGTATGATTTCACGCCGCTTTTAGCAATATAGCAGTAATATCACGGCGAGGGACACTAGAAATGGGCTTCACACATTGCTCCCATATGGGGAATCGAACGCGTGTCTTTGGCGTGACGAACGGACCATGTAACGACTAGGCTACCCCACCGCCCCCATACCACTAGGAGATCGTTAAATTTGAGGACTTCCATTTATGTGAAATCAAAAGAATTTACTACAACTTTTAGAGTAGACGAACTATTTCATTCATATGGTGAATGTATTCATGACAGAATGATTGAAAGAGGTGGCTCGGTGGACAGAGTTGTAAGGCGCTGTTTCTTCGTTCTAATTACTAGCGTGTAGATGTACCAAAAACGGCATGAGACGTTACACAAAACATCAAAGCCGCCGCCACATAGCTAGACCATTCCTGAGTGCGGGAAAATATTGGTAATATCAATATAATATCAAAAGTTACACCAAAACTTAACGCCCACCGGTATCTGTCATTTTACATTATCTAATCCATTATGTCATTATATATCTAAACTTAATATATGTAATATGAGAATCGGGCTGTCATGGACTTGTCTTCAGTACTATATATCTTGTTTCAGCATCAGGTTCCAACAACGGATTACTATGACGTGTATGATGCTGATAAACTGCCGAAAAATGGCGGCCTTTCTCCGCGGTTCTCCCGGAAGTTACCCACAGGGGGAACAGCATCAGGAGGGGATAGCACCGAGAGACAGTTCATGCGGGTTCTACAAAAGGTGTACCAGACAATAGAGAAAAACGAAATGCGATTGGCTGAGCAAGACAGGCGTGATCAGCTTAAACTCGAATGGCAACAGTTGGCTCTTGTTTTGGATCGTCTTCTGATGACAATATTTATCATTGTCACTGGGTGTACAACCGCTGGAATATTCCTCCCCTCCCCCCACTCAACAGCGTTTGGAAAACCATTCTGAAGGAACAATGAAGGAAGTGTTGATAATCCTACGATCATGGATAAGGCATTATCATTCTTGTTGACGTCTACCCGTTTGTGCTAGACAGTGAATAATGAGGCTTGCAAGGCGTACAATATGTTTCCATGGTTTCTTATGAATTTATGTTTAACTGATATCGTATTGTTTTATTTAACATTTTCTTTGAAACTGTGTGTGGATTGTAGTTCTTGAACTATGCACTAAATACGAAAGTGTCCAGAACGAGTTCTGTAAGGTCTTCGCACGAGGAACAGATGGTGTACATACTCTAAGAAACATTCGTTACATCGATTGTAAATGTGTTCTTGAAGACTCTTTGGGTCATCACCTGACCTCAGACATCTGGACTTGTGTATATGTTGAAATGTTTGATTCCCTTGGGATAGTCCTGTATCTTCCCGACATGCATCCTGGTGTCCAGATACACTTCCGTATACCCTATCCATGGTATTCATCATCGGATCATCCACCTTTGTGGATAGTCAGTCTTTTAGAATCGGGTGTCTGGTACCGGATACCTTTGTGGACACAGTTCCTTCTGGAATCCAGATATCCGGCAGTGGATGCCTTGACGGATACCTCACGATGATGTACAGCTTGATATACGGGACTAGATGACGAGTGTTTGGTATCACAGGAATCAACTGTACTGGATACTACTCAGATGTATCAGTGATCGGCCTTGACTGGTCTTGTTCTTGAAGAAGATGCACCAATGTCACTGCGCCAATCTATGGACGTGTAAATTCATGTGTTCTGCTGGAACTTTATTGGTACCTCAGGAAGAACAGAACAGCTTAAGTCAAGGATGAGGTACCACGTATTCTTGAAACCGCACAACATGATAGCAAAATGCTTGTATAATTTGTTTGGCATACTGTAAATCAACGGATTTACTCTTTCTTCCGAGAAATTGATTTCGAGATGTATGAATATATTTTATTGCATTTTCATAGATGTATTCTATGTTGTTTGATGGTAAATGTGATGATGCGTTTGAAGCGGGATTTATTATCCATTGTTTTTAAACATGTTCCTAAAATATGCACATATATGTATGACATATACATTGCAGCATTTACAAGTTACCACAAGATAATGTTGTATCTATAATTATTTAGCACCAGTTTGTTCTATATTGGTTGTCATCATTGTGATGTCATTTTGGTAGTTGTATCCACCTGTTCCTGTTCGTTGCATCTACCTGTACGTGGTGTAAGATGGGGTCGTGGATATCTAGGTGCTGGCGTACACATGGAAAGCAAGATCTACCTGTACGTGGTGTAAGATGGGGTCGTGGATATCTAGGTGCTGGCGTACACATGGAAAGCAAGATCTACCTGTACGTGGTGTAAGATGGGGTCGTGGATATCTAGGTGCTGGCGTACACATGGAAAGCAAGATCTACCTGTACGTAGTGTAAGATGGGGTCGTGGATATCTAGGTGCTGGCGTACACATGGAAAGCAAGATCTACCTGTACGTGGTGTAAGATGGGGTCGTGGATATCTAGGTGCTGGCGTACACATGGAAAGCAAGATCTACGTGTCGTATATAAACATGGTATTAAAGTGATTCGTGGTGACTGATTCATTGTAAAATATATTCATACTTTTTATATGTATTGCCCATACTGACAGCAATGACAAGAACTGTTTGGTGCCCATTGATATGGACAATATGGATTTTATTTCTGCTGCAATGTGTCTTGTAGGGGTGTGTTATTGTAATGACATTCAATGATGTCCTGTGATGGTGGCTCCGTATTTCTGCTTTCAGTGATCACTATTAATTTAGCTTCCCCTTCAGAATTAGATATAGCACATGACACAGATTGACGAATCTATAAATAAATTGGTCACTATAGATCCTTTTGAAACGGAAACGTATCGAATCTGTTGTCAAGGATATCTACCGAGAAAGCGGTTGGTATTTATGTGGTTTAATTATTGCCGAGGTGGAGCTATAATCGATTGCCGTTTTCTACAAAGCTGATGTCCAGAGGCAAGCTTCCACGTGTACATATTTATTTCACTACCTCCAAATTGTTACTCGGGTTATCTCGGATGGGGTTAGGGTGGCCGAGTGGGGATCTCACATTGGTGGGGTGGGCGTTGACCAGTTGTGTAACTTACATTAGTGGGGTGAGGGACGCCCAGTGGAGTTCTCACATTGGTGGGGTGACTTGGCCAAAAGGGGATCTCACATTGGTGGGGTACGGGTGGTGCAGAGGGGATCTTACATTGGTGGGGTGAGGGTGGCCCAGTTGGGAATATCACATTGGTGGGGTGTGGATGGCCCAGTGTGGATCTCCCATTGGTCAGGCGAGAATGGCTCAGTGGGGATCTCACATTGGTGGAGTGAGGGTGGCCCCAGTTGGGAATCTCACAGTGGTGGGGTACGGGTGGCGCATGCGGGATCTCACATTGGTGGGGTACGGGTGGCGCAGTGGGGATCTCACATTGGTGGGATACGGGTGGCGCAGTGGGGATCTCACATTGGTATGGTACGGGTGGCGCAGTGGGGATCTCACATTGGTGGGGTGAGGGTGGCCCAGTTGGGAATCTCACATTGGTGGGGTACGGGTGGCGCAGTGGGGATCTCACATTGGTGGGGTACGGGTGGCGCAGTGGGGATCTCACATTGGTGGGTAACGGGTGGCGCAGTGGGGATATCACATTGGTGGGGTACGGTTGGCGCAGTGGGGATCTCACATTGGTGGGGTACGGTTGGCGCAGTGGGGATCTCACATTGGTGGGGTACGGGTGGCGCAGTGGGGATTTCACATTGGTGGGGTACGGGAGGCGCAGTGGGGATCTCACATTGGTGGGGTACGGGTGGCGCAGTGGGGATCTCACATTGGTGGGGTACGGTTGGCGCAGTGGGGATCTCACATTGGTGGGGTACGAGTGGCACAGTGATAAAAGGCACAACAAAACGCTGTGCACGGTAGCATCCAAGGATTCTCTGAGCGTGAGTTCGAATCCCGGATTGTGTGATAAACCTTCACGACCTGCTTTCCTTCCGCATTACTTTAAGCCGTAATATAATTGAAGTTCAGTTCAAAGCGGCGTTGAGGACATACACTCACTCAGTCTCGCATTGGTTCCTAAAGGTTTGAAAAGGAGACTTACAACTACACTTTAAAACATTTCATAATTAAATAAAGGTAATGGATTGGAATGAATATCCCTTTGTATATGTAGAAGTCCATCCCTGGAAGGATTCCGGGTTAAACTTGGTCTCAGGCAATCTCTGCTTGTCGTCGGATGTGGGATTCAAATTTGATGTTTGTTTTTAAGATATGTGGAGGAAAATATTGTCTTACCACACATATATTCACCCTTCTCGCCCCAGCAATCATCTCCGGCAATCAATGCTTGTCGCAAGACAACTCAAAGATATCGGATGGTCAGCCTCGGCGACTTCATTGATTGCGTGACATCATGGACTGTTGCTCATAATATCAATCAATTGTTTGTCCGGCTCAGACCCGATTATTCCTTTCCTCCTCCAACTCCAAATTATTTTCTGGTATAAAAGTAGTCATCATCTTCCCCCTCAAAGATCACCAGGTTCATAAACCATACTGTGCTCAGTGCCCTTGCACAAATAATCAGAGACGTTTATATCTACCGCATCATAGAACACTCAAGTATTTATTGAAAATGGCCAATTGTTGAAGGAGTTGGTGGATTTGTTTGTACCATTCGTGGTTGTCCTCCATGCAATACATCCGACACTCTTCATATCACAAGATTGTGTGCATGTGTGATGAATGTATATAAAAAAACCATTCAATTCTAACATAATTGCAATGATTTCTCTATATTTCTCAACATCCCTCCTTCCAATATTTGTTTTACAAACCTGTTTGTAAGTGTACTTTGTTGGTGTACATATGAATCCTATTGAGTTCGAATACGTTTATCACATATCCGTCATCTTAGGATTATTTGTTTTTAAAATGTATTCATCTTTATGCGAATTTATTGCAGCGTCCGGTGTAAAACCTTCAATGGATTGATTTTAAATTTTGCATGTAATATGTTTGAATCGAGATTTATCATCGTGTGTAAATACAACACAGTAAGTAACTTCTCAACCATTTTGTTAAACCCTGTTGATTGTAGCTGGAAGAAGCACTCATCCTTCTAACAATGGTCATTTATTTGTCACAGGAACGGAGACAGAAAGTTACAAAAATAAAGTGGGAAATGATGTTTAATTTCTTTATAGTTTGTTGTTATTTGTTTTTGTTCATAATCAGTAAATAAATGAAGAAACATGAGCAAAAAGGAGCAGCAGAATACTAGAATAAAAGCATCAAACTAAAAGTTTTGTTTAATGAAGTGCGTCACCTCTACACTCTTACCTCAGTGCCACAGACGATCTGCAAAGATTATTGTACCATTAGAAAACTATAAACCCATTTGACCAAATGTGAATGCATATACAGGTCTGTACTAGCAAGGCATGGATTCGTGGGTGCTACCAACTGGTACTATAAGCCAGAACTACCTGGGGCCTTTAAGTCACCTGGATATCAACCATCAAGGTGAATTCAGAACAATGCTTTCTCGCTTTATGAAGCACGGTGCAAATGTATAGGTATAAAATATAGACAATGTCATTATCATGTAACAGTTATCTCATCACAACTATACATTGCACATAAGCTCCTGTGTAGAGACTGCAAGGTTAATTCATAGTTAACTTTCGTCGTTAACACACATGGGGCGTATTCGATATCGCATAAAACCATCGGCACTACAGGTTTTAATATAGGCCTATCCGCTTGTCTCAAACTAAAGAAAGTTCTATACATGTATATGTATATTTTCTCATGATAGTCCCATGAACGAGGTTTCAATGTAAGTACGTTTAGCACAATGATGACAGCGCGAGATAATCGGAAATTGTGTGAAAGGATCAGTATCAAATTGACGTTAAATATCAATGCACATTATATCTGATGCTGACTTATTCTTATTTCAAACGCGTGTAGCAAATAACAGATGTAGGATAGCTGCGAGAACAGACACGGTTTGGAGTTGTCTTGGCGAGATCAGTGGTAAGAAGAGCAAAGAGGGCATGTAGCTCACCTCAAACTTTCCTTTGGTAATTATCAACAGAAAATGTTACCTTACTTTGCTTTAGATACAAGCTTTGCTCCAGAATATCTTTGGAGAGAATACAGGGCCCAGGTATTCATACAAAGATACTGCTTCTACAGGTGTACCATTATAAAACAACCATGTCTAAACGCAGCAATCTTGGTGTTCTGTCTCACATATTCTCAACTATCAGATCCAAAATCTGGACTTGTAAATGGGTTAAAAATATAATTTCCGAAACGGAACATAAAAATATCATGTTAAGTACTGTGGGCTTGTCAGGGAACAGTCTTGAAAAAACCCTCTTGGTATTAACACAGATGGTGCAACAGTAAATCTTGGCAAGAAAGGAGGAGCATTTAAGATGATCTCAAACAGACTCACGAGGCAGTGCATTGTGAGATTACATTGCTGTGGCACACTGTATTGTGCACAACCTTGAGTTGGCAGTGTGTGATACACTTAACAAGGCATGTACATACCTGAAGAAGTGGAAATTGCTGAAAATCTGGATAAAGACCTGAAACATTACGAAGGGGTTAAGGAAGTGAGATGAGCCTTGCGGTCACTCCCAGACAACTATAGTAGCGGCAGGAAGACATGAAGTACCAGCTAAAGCAAGAAACAACTTAGCTGAGGTGAAAACTGAAAAATTCTTGAAGATGTTGCATTTCATGATTGATTTCATAAACTTGGTGACGGAAGTGTCCAAAGTGTTCCAACTGTAGAAGGAACTGGTATCTGAAGTTGGAAGGGGAGTTGAGGAATGGGGGCAAAAGCGTCTGAGATCAGAACAAGAATGAAAGGAAGGCCTTTAGCAGGTCTAGTGAAACCTGAAGAGACAGGGGAACTTTGACAAAGACAATGACACCATTTCAGACAGCTGAAATATTTCTTCACGAAAAGATTCATTAAACACCTTGGAGGGGAACCCCATTCTCTGTTCCAGCTGTTTGATAAGCATATGTGGACAAATTTCACAACACAACCAGAAGAGTTCAGGGCATATGGAGATGAAAATGTCAAGAAGCTTATTGATATTTACAGTCCTCTACTAACCAGTGCATCGGATGAATAGCTTGACCTGACTATCAGAAGAGCAGGCCAATGGTTGATGTCTATGAAGGTCTGTTTGTTAGTCACAGTCAGTCAGAGACATTCAACACACTTTGCCTCTGGATTTCATCATATTGACGATCTCCGCAAGTACCGCAGATTGTAAGAGAGGCTTTAGCTGTATGAGCAGGCTGAAAACCAGCCTGATATCATGTATGATCATGGACACTTAGTCTGTTAAGGATGAGCATGAATGGACCGTTTGTTCAAGATTTTCAACACAAGAAATATATTCTTCACTGGATGAAAGGTGCAAAAGGGGGCAGACCAAGGTCCAAGGCTGCTACATCAACTCCCTCAACCAGCAATAGAACATAACGGGAAGGGAAAATGTTGCAAAACGAGTATAAAATAATGTCTACTTGTCCTGCAGGACAAGTTGGGATTATAAATGTTTCGAGCCCTGTGCAAGGGCAAATAACATTTAAAAAATATGATAAATATTTCTTGAGTTCAAACACAAACCTGATGGGTGCCCATGTTACAGGTAAAACACTGATGTATGTTACAGTCAATGTGTAAAATGACTGAAATGTTAATTCAGTCAATTTACATCTGCTTTCCCGTTAGATTGACTAAGAGGCATTCAGAAGTTCAAAAGAGCTTTTAAGTAAAATGACTGAAATATTTTGGCGTTTTGTAAATTGTACAAATTGACTGATTTTACACATTGATTGTAACATATATACCTTTACAAACTGATGTTATAATAATTAATAACTAACCTTAATACCAACTTGACACAGTGAATGCATGAGAATATCATGTCTTAGAGTCAACAAAGAGGCAGTAAAAAAATATGCTATAGGGATAATATACTCTGTAATGAAAATATTGCCAATAGTGGAGTAATGAGCCCTGTAGTTCATTGATATTATTATGAGTCTCACACCAATTCTGTAGACGGCTGTTAAAAAAAAAGAAGTAACTTGTGTGTTGAATGTATGGGAGAAGTTCCTTCATAGTTGTTTAGGTGATTTTACAGCCAGACTTGAAGAGTATGATATTAAATGCTGTAACGAAAGGTTATGACAATTAGGGTGAATTAGAAGTATGATCTCACTTATACACAGTTACTATGGTTACATTCATGCCGCTCTGAAGTTACATTATAAATCACTCTCAGTGAAACAAGTTAAATCAAAACGTTTGTGACTTCATGTACACATCCCCAAGAAATAAAACGCATGTGTGATTTTCAAGAGATTTATTTTCTGACTTCTCAAACGGCGTTTAAATACAATAGATGATAAAACAACTGATATTGAGGTTAAGGATTTCATACTTTTGAAATTTCCCAATAAGTGCATGCTTGTAGTCTATTCAGTCAGTATCTTCTGAAACAAATGTGTTTCAAGTAGAATCCATCCATATTTTCAAAACCACCAAATAAAACGATTTTATCACAGTCCAATACTATGACCATTACCTCCAAATTATTTAATTACAAAAAAGTCCTGTAAAGTGAAAATCATTTCAACAAGTGTGATTGCCGCGTTCGCTATGTACCTGCTGATCTCCCAATAATTGATGTATTGTATGAATCTTATTTATCAAACAGGAATTTTCGTAACATCATTATTCGTTTTAGACTTGGCCTGAATGATCTAAAAACTAACACAGGGAGATTCGGTGACATTGTTGTCGATATGAATACCATTTTATGTATATGTGCCCTATATACGAAAATCTAAGAAACAAGTACTTACCGCAGTGGTCTTTATCTCATTTTAATGCTGTAAGATTGTCTTCATTACTGTCCTGCAAGGATCTTCTAACACAACATCAACTGGCTTTGTACATACATCATGCGTTTTTGTTACGAAGTGAATTGTTACCTTGACTTTGTATCTTATAAAATATGTTATGTAAATCCGTTGTATATGGGCCTGTGGCCTTTCATACAATAAAGAATTGAATTGAATTGAATTGTATGCCGAAAAGTGGGCAAAACGAGATGAACCATTTGGAAGTTATTTCATCCGTAACATAGCTATTGGAAGGATTCACAAGACCAGTGTTGTCACAGCTCTTGCTGAACTGCACGAGAAATGTATCATTTAATGGCAGTACGTACTATGACGGCAGTGGTCAGTATCAAATGCAAAAATACAGTGGTGATAGCAAAAGCCAGTGATAAAAATTTAGATAAATAAAGATGTATCATCGCTAACTTCTAATGTTTTCAATATCGCTTAGGTTTCAATTTAAAATAAAACCTGATAGAACAACTCAGAGTTGTAGTTTCTTCTGCCCAATATACATGTGGTTATATATCTAGGCTTTAGGACGCTTCTTATCTGAACACACTCACACACGCGAGGGCTAGGCGATATGTCCGCACCACATAGCATAATCTCAAACCTGAACACGAGTGACCTGAGAGTGTACTCTTAGTTTGCCGTCTGCAGGTCACATCACATGCAGAATATCGACATACATAGGAACACTGTGCGTTGACCGAAATGCTTCGTCCATCCGGGTTACAATGGGTGTTCATCACGCTGTTGCATTTGGTGTTCCTGGTTAGAATACGACGCCATCAATCTGTTGCTTGTGGTGTTTTGGGTTAGAATACGACGCCATCAATATGTTGCTTGTGGTGCTCTGGGTTAGAATACGACGCCATCAATATGTTGCTTGTGGTGTTCTGGGTTAGAATACGACGCCATCAATCTGTTGCATGTAATGTTCTGGGTGAGAATACGACGACATCAATCTGTTGCATGTGGTGTTCTGGGTTAGAATACGACGACATCAATCCGTTGCATGTAATGTTCTGGGTTAGAATACGACGCCATCAATCTGTTGCATGTGGTGTTCTGGGTGAGAATACGACGACATCAATCTGTTGCATGTGGTGTTCTGGGTTAGAATACGACGCCATCAATCCGTTGCTTGTGGTGTTCTGGGTTAGAATACGACGACATCAATCTGTTGCTTGTGGTGTTCTGGGTTAGAATACGACGCCATCAATCGGTTGCTTGTGGTGCTC